GGTTGTGGAGTGGGATTAAAATCGAAAAAAAAACACATTTGTAATAGGTTTACAAGTTAAAAAGCGGTTTTGTTTTAATATTAAACATTAAAAGTGTTCTTTTTTTTTCCAGAAAAGTGACATCAAGCATGAAATACTCTAACAAGTACACCAAAAACTCAAACAAATACACTGAAAACTATACAATAAAAAGAAATCAACAACTTTGACCATGTAAAAGTTAGAGATATTAAAAAGTACATAAAATTACTTTCACAATATTTATTTACTGAGCTATCTCACAAAATCTCACACTGAATTAATACATCACAAAACTGAGATAATAAGTGTAAGATTCTACCTTATAGGTCATACCTTTGGCATGGTAAACTTAAACTATGAGACAAAACATGACTGAAAAATGTATTAAACACAAAAAATAAAATTATGTCAGAAGATAAAGATTGTCAGTTTCTTTCAAACCCTTTTCTTCCACACAAAAAGAGGTTATAATTTAAGTCAAAAGTAGGAAAGTACTTAATATAATAAGTTTTGAAATAGTAAATAAAAATTATAAAGCAGTAATTAAAAGTTTGGGCTGCAAAGTAAAATTTTAAAAAATCCAAAATCAAAACAGTTTTTGACAAAATGTCTTCTTGAAAACTAAAAAATAACTACTGTTGTACTAACTCACTATTTGAGATACTATTAAGCCAGAATTATGAGATGATAAGTTAAACAAATCTACTTTATAAGTCATAATTTTGTCATTATAAATTTATGTAAAATCATAGTAAAGTTAATGTCATACTAAAGTTATGACAAGCTTAACTCTGAGTAAATCTTTCGCCTTAAAACCCTTAAAGCAATTGATGAAACATGACAGAAAAATGTTAACCACAAAAATTCATTGTATCTAATGTTGGATACTATGTTCAAAATATGTCTTTATCAAAATTATTATAATTAAAATTGTGATTAAATTTAAAGATTCTGCATTAAACAAATCCTAATTTTGAGATTATAATTTAAAACGATGGGATAGTGAGTCAGAATAGTGACTTGGTAGATAATGTTTTTAACACATTAGTCTCACTCTTGACACACATTGAGCAGACGGACAAACCAAAAGTCAGACTGACAGATAAATGAAGAGAGAGAGGGAGAAATGATGGATGTTTCCGGTATCTTTCGTTGTCTCTCGGCCCGTTTCTCGGCACAGAGTTTCAGTGTTTGAAGCGAACAATGAATCCGTCTGTTGTCGTCCGCGTGAGGAGTGTATTTCTCAAACAAAGACACAGTTTATCACGTAATAAACGGCTCTGTTCTCGAAACTGAAAATACAAAGAGTGGAGGGTAGGTCAGAGGTCAGAGCGGGCGCTGGACAAAGTCATCTGGGGAATTCAGCACATTGTGGACAGTATAGATATCATATTCACAACATACACTGTACATGCTCTGTCGTAATGTTAATAATGACAAGTTAAGATGCATTCAGCAAATGATTCATGCATCTGCTACAACAACAGTTTTCCCTCCTCCTTATTTACTGTAAGATACTGTAACATTACATTTTTTTGTTAATGATAAATGTTCAGAGCCACAAACGCACATGATGCCTTAAAAATGTTCAAAATATATTTTTATAATCAGCTTGATTATCTGTCTTGCTTGCAGTCTTACATTAAGACAGTAGAGTGTTTTCAGGGGACTTAATACAAAATGCTATAATGCTGTAATCTATTCTAATAGATTAGCCTAATACACTGAATTCAGTAAATTCTGAAATGTAAGTTTGACCCACTTTAGCTGTATCTAAAACATACCAAATGTTAGTCAAGTTTACAGCCAAATTTAGCAGAAGACAACGTGACTTTCCATCCCACTGCACTGATATGTGAACCTTAGGGTTCATGGAGAGAAACGCCGGTATTAAGCTTTAAAATATTGCAAAAGAGGAGAATGCAACAAGATAACGTAACTAAAAGAGCGAGAGTCAAAGCTCAAACATCTCCATTGAGGATTTTCATGCGCAAACTGAAAATGTGCAGGTTTTTAAAAACTTTCACTGTGTGTTTTGCTGACGTAAAACCTCTTGTTTAGCAGTCGGTTGTATTAAAGGACACTCTGAGGAGTTGGCCTGTTTTTTTACTTGCTAAAATTAGCATCCCAATTATCACAACAGTAAATGTGAATTACGGATGCACCTTTCTAACCGAGCTGGCTAGCGCCACACCCTCATCCAATATGGTCACTTCAGTTTCCAAATAAACATGAGGCTTCAAAAGAGTAGTCCACAAACCAATGGGTGACATTACAGTGGATACCTCCACTTCTTCTATACAGTCTATGGTCCAGACTTTATTTTGCTTAATGTTTGTCAGAGAGCACATTTCAAAGGAAGGTTTTAAATCCAAAATCATACTTTGCTGCCAATATGAATATTTTTCCATTTCCATTTTAAAACCACATCTCTTTCTTTCTCTCCCTTCTGTGCTATTGCTGTTATTTGTTCTTTCTGTCTTTCTTTAGTAACATCATCAAATAATTAGTCTTACACGTTTGGCCCATTTCCTTTTGTAGGCAAAAAAATCTACATTGCACATGTTTTTTCTAAATGTACTAAGTCATATCCAATAACAGTATTTTGTAAGGATCCTGCATGTTCTGGGGATACTATCTGATAATCCTAACTGAACTTGATGTATACTTTTCCCCAGAAAAGTTTGTTTACAGCATTTTGGAGTAAAGATCTGGCACTGGGACGTCTCAACTCCTGCCTATTTGGCCGGAGCAGATGTAGTGTTTGTGAGCTCTCTTTGGGCTGCGGAGGGCACACGTCTGGCCAACTTCAACAGTGAAAAGAACGTCTTCATTAACATGCACGACCATCCGCTTCCTCTGAAACGGGCCTTTGTCGCCCAGCAGATGCCCCAAACACAACGAAAAGAAGCAGATCCGGATCAAAGGGAGAACACAGATAGATGGTATACGATCCATGATGAACGGACACGGATGCAGAGGGAGGCGTTTGGCGCTTTGTTTGTTCACCTAGCTTCTTCTTAATTAGTTCCCAAGTGCTTGGCGTGGTTTTTAAAATTTCTCTCAACTGGAAAAGAGCCATTTATGTCAAGTTATCTTTGTGTCATTTTACTTGTTCTGATGCATTATGTTTGTGTTTTCCTTTATATTTAAGTTGTCGTGTTGACTGACAGATCTTTTTCAATGAACAGATCCACTGAGCTGTGGGGTCCATCCATTAATTTCTGCACCTGCTCGCACAGGATATTCAACGTGGGAATTTAATGTATGGGTCCTGAAGATAGTAAAAAATCTTCTTAGAGAGTGGCAGGGACGCAACTATCACCAGTAGTTCTATCCAACTGTTTTTATTACCTGTGTGGAAACGTCGAGTCATGACAGTGAAACCTTCACGTCTGACGTGTTCTCTTCTTCTGCAATAGTAAAACAGCACCCGACAGGTGCATTAGCACCACCTGCTGCTTATCTCAATGAACCAAATCCTCAGAATAAGAGCAGTAGATGGAAACGCACGTAAATCTACATCTTTAGCCAGTTTTCTGGAAATTCTATGAAAATTTGCGCTATATGTTGATGGAAAAAATCCACTTCAAAACGAGAGACACACACACACAGTGATCCTCCTGGTTGCAAAAGTCATCGTTAGAGGACCCAGAACTTGTGTGAAGCACTACAAAAGTCTAAAGCAACCTTTTCCACTTCATGCTACCAGCTGAATTCGATTCGACTCTACTCGCCTTTTCTGGTTTTCCACTGGGAAAATCTGGTACCTGGTACTTTTTTTGGGCGATACCAAAAGGTGACATGAAAACACTGCAGACTACTGATCAGTCAGAGAAAACAAATCCATGTCTGAAATAACCTAGCTAGCACTGCAGTGTGTTTACAGCTGAGCTGCTGCTGCTTATGTTAGCTTAGTTTAGGAGCCCAGTTTGTTTTTAGTTTAGGTTTGCTTTGTTGTTGACCATTCTGGAGGTTTCTAACAAGAGATTATCTCCCCAGTTTGTTATTAAAATTGTTATAAACTTGAATCGTGTTTCGACATGGCAGTTTTGTGCTGCGTCGCTATGACGACCTGCCACATTGAGGGGTAACTATTTCTGCAATGGAAAACCAAAGCGAAGCTGGCGCCATGTGGCGGGAAAGGGCTTGAGCATTGCAGTCAATCAGGAAACATCCTTGAACAATGACAGACCTTTCTTAAAGAGGGCTGGAAGCATCTCTTGGTGTGACACCTAATTACGCTCATCCAACCAAGTCTACCTCCCGTTGAGTCAAACAAATGGGCAGACAAAAGGTGGATGTAGAAGGGGACTCACAGGTGACGCTTGTGTTCTTGTCTTGTTTAAATGGTACTAAAGCTGCAGGATTTGGATTTACATTGAACATAGAAAAATTGGACTTTCTCACTTGCCTGTGTCCAGATTGTTTTTATCGGTCCAGGTTTTTGGGTGTCCTTCTCTTGGATTATGGCCAGTGGTGTGAGTGAAGTTTGGTTTATTTATCAAAGCATTAAAAATGCATATTTTATAGAGGATTTTGGCGAAATGTCAACGTGTTTTCAGTGAAACTACTTTATAACTGAAGTGACTTGTAAGTTGGTCGTTGGCTAGTAAAAGTTTGAAAACGGCTTGTGAGTTTTTGCCAATCTAGAAGCCACTTTCAAAGCCACAATGTTAAAGTAGGCTCTCCTGAACAATTTATCACTACTTACTATATTTCAGTTAATAAGATACATTAAAACATAACAAACACACAACTTACTGCTACTGCTCTAATCCATGTTTACAGAATAGTCACTGTAATACATTCATAGCCATAGTTGACTTACTTGAGGTTGTGTTTACATATTCTTTACATTTCATGTCTAAAAGCTACAACAACTTTATGTTGTATGTTAATCACCTCAGTTATTACATGATTACATTGAGATTAAGACTTGCCCATTAGGCTGGTTTGCACAGGGTTGCAGTGGAGTGAGGGGAGGCGGATAGATGGGATTGGTCAGCAGTTTGAATGACTGGCCGGCTGACCTCAGCGCTGCACCCTCCACATCACCACCCACCGCACTGCTGCAGTATAAAGCCTGTGGTCCATCCTCAGCTTTCACTCTCCGGACTCGCAACAGACAACTAACTCCTGCCTGGACTGACATTGAGGTAAGGTTATTACGTCATCATTAAACTTAATACATGAAACTTAATACAGGAAAAGCCAAAATATGAAAAAGAAAAAACCTTAAAAACTTGATTTTCCAGCATCCAACGTGTCAAAATACAGTTTATAATACTGTTTTAATCATATATTGTATCTATTTTAGGTTGATGCAGCACTTTTTTGCACTGTCATGCTAGTAAAATGTAGATTTAGTGAGTGGTATAGATGGAAAACAACTTCATGAACTTTGTGCTGTGTGATGTTGATTATTCTTAGTCATTTTGGTTTTGTAGACACTGATAACTATGCATTTGCATGTATTAAAACGAATGATATTTAAAATTGGATGCTGTCTCTGCTTTAAAGAATGTACATTTCATCATGTGAGACTGACTTCTAACAATATCCTTAACAAACATATGTTTTTCTGATTATGATGCAATCAAAGAACAGTGAGCTGATTTTAAATGTGCTATACAAAAGATTTAACCCTTTATTCATCCTTAAAATAATCTTCTGATCAATGCTGATTCTTTTTTTTTTTCCTGAAGGTTGTTTACCAGTGAGTAAATCCTGATCTCACTGTGTCTCTGATTTTTATTTATTCCTGTTTATGAAAAGGTGAAAAGACAGATGACAATGACCGACCTGGAGACCTCGATGGCGACCATCATCGCAGTGTTTCAGAAGTATTCAGAAAGAGAAGGAGACAAGCACAAGCTGAAAAAGAGCGAGCTGAAGGATCTGCTTAACGACGAGCTGCCAGATCTGATGACGGTGAGACGCACAGATTCAGATCCTTTTACTTAAGTTAAAACAGGGTGGAAATAATGTTTCCGTACTAGCAAAAGTACATTCAGTGTGGAGTAGAGTTAAACTGTCCCCTGGTGTGGTGATGTTACAAGATTGGTTGATAAAGAAAGTTCAGTTTTGAGGTAATTGAGTATTTCCATTTCATACTTCACAACAATGCAGGAGCAAATATGGTACTTTCTACTCCATTATGTTAATTAGACCTGTGTAGTTACTTTGAATATTAATTCAAAACATGTGATTATAGAGTATGATGCATTGTAATATATCACCCTACTCAAAAAAGTAGAGTAGGTAAAATTAGATCCTCCACAACCAGATAAAATATTAAAATGCAGCATTCATCTTAATGGCGTAGTGGTAATATAACCCTACAATATAATACAACAAGTAATTTTTTCTTTGTAATCATTTTTTGTACTTCATTTGAAGATACAGTAAGAAATACTTTTTTATTTTAGATACTATAAATACACCAGTAAATGGTTAAAGTTACTTCATCCTTTTATATTTTTATCCAAATACGTTCAATTTATTGTCCTTAGTCGTATAAGATGCCCTGATGTGAACTTCCCATCCTGCCCTTCAGCATGTGAAAGACCAGGCCACACTTGACAGCCTGATGGAAAGCCTGGACACCGACGGCGACGCCGAGTGCGACTTCCAGGAGTTCATGACATTCATCTCTGTGGTTACCGTCTGTTGCCACGAGTTCTTCGAGCACGAGGACGAGTAAAGGAGGAGGCGAGCACGGAGACAAAGGGGGAGCTACAGTAAATTATAAAGAAGGAGAAGCCTAGCAACGCACAACCTTCTTTGTGCCTTCAGAGCAGGGCAACGTCAGCCAGCAGCCAAAACATCATTGGTGAGGTTTGACTGGTGGCTGGCAAACAGTCCAATGTAGTTACTTTAGCTAAAATCAGATAAAATGTTCCTGCTATTTTATATTTGATTCTAAATATTTAGATGGCTTGTGAAGTCTTCAAAGTGGCTTTTGGATTTTGGTGTGGCTACAAAGAAAACTTAAGTCCGTCTACTCGTTTGGAGTTTGTCTTCTACAGTTGAGATGTGGCTGATAAGTTAGTCAACCAACTACTTAAAGGCACCTGTGTTTAATAAAGCTTGTTGACTATCAAATATTGAAAGTGCCTCCTAAGTTGGTCGTCATTTAAAAAAAACTGAATAGTCTAATGGGCTAGTAAAAGTGAAGATGGCTTTTTGATTTTGGTTTGACAACAAAGTTTGTTACAAAGCCACTGATGCCCTTATTTGTCTTTTTTTAACAGCCAATTTAGCATAATTTCCAACCCCATTCTATAAGTAAAGCTGTTTAAAAACGTTTGAAAAGTACTGACTCGATTTTGTGTATGGCTACCAACTTTGACTACCAAGTTCAGCAAATAAGCAATCAGTGATTTAAGGTTCTTCTGTTGAATGTCTCAAGGGCCAGTAAAGTTGTAAAAATGACTGGTAAGTCTGTCTGCTCTACACATAATGGTCTTTTAATTGTTTAAACGATTGTGGCTGGTATATTTCAGATGTGGCTAGTGAGTTAGCCATTCTTTTGAGTTTTAACATTTTAAGAGGCCAGTAAATTGAAAAAGTGACTAACATTTTTATCAACTCCAGTAGCCACTTTAAGAGTCAACTGACTACTTAGAGGCACCTGCGTTTGAAAAATCTCGTTGACTATCAAATATTAAAAGTGGCTTTTACGTTTGTTGTCATTTAAAACACATTTAATTGGCTTGCAAAAGTTTTAAAATGGCTCATGAGTTTTAGCTAATCTAGAAGACATCTTTCAGACATTTTAGAAAATGTAGTTGACTATCAAATATTGAAAATGGCTTGTAAGTTTGTCCTCATTTAAAACTGGCTAGTAAACATTTAAAATGGCTTTACATAATCTAGAAGCCACTTAAGATGCAACGAGTTCACCAATTTTTCAGACATTTTTAAAAATGTAGTTCACTATCAAATATTGAAAGTGTCGTTTAAATTTGTCATCATTTAAAACACATTTTTTTGGCTAATAAACATTTAAAACGGCTTGTGAGTTTTAGCTACAAGCAATTTTTCAGAGAACATTTTAGAAAATGTAGTTGACTACCATATATTGAAAGTGGCTTTTAAGTTTGTCCTCATTTAAAACATATTTGATTGGCTAGTAAAAGTTTTAAAATGGCTTGTAAGTTTAATATAATCCAGAAGCCACTTTGGAAGCAACAATTTAGGAGTTGACCTATTTTACAGATTTAAAAAAATCTAATTGACTGTCAAACATTGAAAGTGGCTTTTAAGCTTGTCTTCATTAAAAACACATTTAATTGGCTATTAAAAGTTCCAAAAGGGCTTGTGAGTTTTAGCTAATCCAGAAACAGTTTTTCAGACAACATTTTAGAAAATGAAATTGACTATCAAATACTGAAAGTGTTTTAAGTTTGTCGTCATTTAAAATACATTTGATTGAGTTTTTAAATGGCTTGTGAGTTTAACATTATCACTTTGGAAGCGACAGTTTAGGAGAAATCTAGTTGACAGTTAAAATTTAAACTGACAGGTTAAAGTTAATTGGCTAGTAAATTTCTAAAATGACTTTTGTAGTTGCCAGTTTGGTAGAAAACCAGCCATAATTTCAAATTATATTGTAAAATGAAAGTCTGGCTGGTAGATTTTGAATGTTGCTAGTAAAGTTGCATTTATTTGATGTTTTACAAAAAACACTGGGCTTGTCAAAGTGGCTGATAAGTTGTTTTGTTTGTTCCTTGTTTAGAAGCTCTTTTTACTTTAGATAGTTGGTAAACAAGTAATCTACCATTCTTTGCATCATCATAAAAATAAATAATAATTATAAAATGCTAGGATTTTGTAGCAGTTATTAGCTATCATATTCAACCTGCTAGAATTTTATGTAACTCTTCTCTTCATGTAAAGAAAACATAAGAAAATCTGTTGGAACAGAAGAGTTTGTCTGCGTATTTTGAAATGTTGAGCACTGGTTTGTTTGGATGTTGGTGATATGAAACGAAATAAATTATCATTGTGGGACTGAGTTTGAAAATGTTTTTTGTGGGATAGAGTAGACATTCAACTGATTAACTGAAAAGGAGGAAAAGCACGTTCTTAAAATTTATTGCAAAAAAATGGCACATGGAAACGTGATGGCTGATTAACGTCATTGTGCTTTTTAAAAGAAAGTAGTTTACAAAAAAAGAACACAGATTATGCAACATTAATTCTGTTTATTTTACTGAGCCAAGATGATTAAATAGATTTATGGTTGTTTGTTTTTCCCCAAAATGTGCAAAAATGCCATTTCTGAAATGAACTTGCCCAATTTATGTTTGGCAAAATATTAATAGAAACAAAGGAACCAACTTTTTACAGTGCTTCTACAGAGGCCCTCAACCATGAAGCACCTGTTGTTTATTGTTTTTCTCAGTGTGTTGCATGCTGCCTTGAGTGTAGATGATTCTTTTTGGTACGGTTAGTGTCTTGAGAGATACTGGATCCTAATTTTCTGCAGACTTTGGATCAGTGTTTTCACCCCTTAGACAAAAACTCTATGCATAAACCAAAACTAAACATTTAGACAGAGAACTTTATAAGAAAGTAAGAAAACCGATTCAGTCATTAAAAATGCTTCTTTTTTTTGTCAGATTTGCAAGAAATCCGGATTCGTGCCAACACATTGAAACCTTAAACTCAGTGACCTTCTTTAATCCCTGTAGAGTTGAAGCATACAGAACTTTCTTTTACAGTCTTTCATGACAGGAAATCGCGTCAATTGTTGGTTCTTATCACACCATTATGTCACTTTAAAGAAAGCCTGAAGCATTTTCCCACAGTGTTCAGTCCAGATTTGCCGAGAACAATGCCAAATAAACTTCACTGACATTAACACTGGCATTGCCTCAAATATTACAAGTCAGTGTGAACCACCATCTAATCTTTTACAACCTTCAGGTGTGAGGTAAGTTAAGGTAACGCCTCTCCCCACTGACCTCATTAACCTCAACCTAATTAACTAGATGATTAGAGTCACCTGAAGGTGAAGTGAGCCTAAAAACATTTGCTGTATATTTCTGCTCCCTACAGATTACATAAAACGTGAAATCATGTCCAGAATATTTCCAGGAGTTTTATAACAGATTGTCAGGTTTTGGTATCAGTCCCTCAAAATCTTTACGCGTTTCATTTCACATTTCACTTCAGTCCTCCATAGTGTCCGTCCTTCCAATGAGACGGCTTCACAGTTGAGACAAAGCTAGAGAAGAAATCCATTGTAAAGAGCCACATATTTAAACAATTACTATGGCACTCTTCTCTGGTTGTTTGGGGGCATTCTGGGAAACCATAGGAAACCACTAGAAAAGTCCTGCAACATGCTGAACATGGCAGAGTTAACATCCACATTAATTTACAGGCATGGGGTGAAATTATTAAACACAATATGTGTAAACAGTCACACACACAGGGTCACACATCTGTGTGTGTGTGTGTGTGTGTGTGTGTTGGTTAAGATATGATGTAAGAGGCGTTGTCAGCTGCACATTTTGAGACATCTGCAGGCTGTTTAGCATCAGAGAGGTGGAGTCAGCCTCGCGATTGGCCGGAGGGGGAACAGATCTCGACTCTGGGGACTGACACCACACCCGTGTGTGTGTGTGTGTGTGTGTGTGTGTGTGTGTGTGTGTGTGTGTGTGTGTGTGTGTGTGTGTGTGTGTTTTGTCCAGCATATGCTCTGTTGTGTTTCTTCTTCTTCTTGTTCTTGGTGACTGAAGAGCTGCTTGCAGATTCTCAACTGGTAAGTTTTCTGAGGGGGGTTGACGTCTTGTTTTGTTTAATTCTTTTTTATGTTATGTGATATTTCACTCTGTGCATTGTGACCGTCGTTTGAAGACCAAACTGACAGCCAGTTTAGAGCTGCTGCACCTTTGTTTTTACTCTTACTTTATATTTAGTAATCAGTCAACAATCTTGAAAACAGTGCTGGTTTAGTCACTAAACATAACTGTGCTGCATATATGTTCTCAGTTTCCTTGCTTATTGTGCAAATTATTTTATACATACAATTACCTTCTGCTACAGACTTAAATAAATAAAAACTTCATGAGACCAGAGATGGATTTGTTAGGGAAGTAAAATACTAGTGTGAAGACATAAAGTGGAAGCAGAATAAAATCAGATTAAAATGACTGTAATGCTCTGCAGCTCAGAGATAGCTCTGTGAAGCATGACTCTTGTTATACAGACAAACACTGACACTTTGGATTCATTTTGGAGTCATTCCCTCGAGTTCATAATTCAGTATGTGAACAACTTCTGTCCTGCAAGACTCAATAAAACGCAACTTTAATGCTTCACAGAGAAGTTGAATGGACATAATTCTGGAGTTTAAGAGGATGACACCAATGGTTGTGTATATTTTTGCTGCATTTACTTTGAATCCTACAAACTTAACATCACTTAAAGTCAGTTTCTTAGATTGATTTGACACCTGGTACTAGTTTTAAGTTATCTTCTATGAAAAACATCTTGCAGAGACTTGAAAACCTGCTACAGAAGTTAATATATTACTAACTAAAAATGTCATACGATGCAAAATATCTGTTGGTTTGGGCCTTCAAACCCGACTCTCTGGTAGGCAGCTGGAGAAAACCATCATATCTGGAAATAAGAACATATCCTTGGCGTCACTGTGGTACTGTCCAAGACCACCACGCTTTTTGGATAACACCATTATTATGTTTTCATGCCCTATTGTGAAGCAGCTGCACCAGAGATTTAGCATCGAGGGGCTGCCTCTTCCACCCCGTCCCATCTGGTGTAACCCCATCCCTCCAGCTGGAGGATGCACTTGGATAAATAAAACAGTCGGACACATCCTTCAGGGATAACATCCCACCATTTCTACAACTTAGAAATCAGTGTGGTCTTATGGATCCCTTCTTGTTAACATATGCTCGACTATCGTTATAAATAGGAAATGTAAAGAGGGGGCTGTGCCTGCCTCATGCTTGGAGTCATATTTATAGCTTAATGTTTAGGGCTGGGCCTAATGCATATTCTCTGGGAACGTGACCTCAGTATATCCTTGACAGCTTCTCAGTGGAATACAGTTTGGACTTTGGAGCTCTTAGAAATGTGTGAGATTTTGTGATTTTACAAAACAGGATTCTGAGTGGAGCAGATAGGCTTGAACAAGACACACATAGGTTATGTTATCCAAGATGGACGAGGTTCATTACTCCACCTGCTTCGGGACTGTCCAGCTGTTAAAACACTCTGGTTAGAAGTTAAGTCCCTAAATGTCAGAGTATTTCGTAATGTTGCATGCTGGTTGGACCAAAGCCCGGACAATGATGTTGGAGTCACTGTTGACTGGCTCTGAACGTTGTGTTGCTTATCTACTAAAAGACTAATTCTTTTAAGCTGGAAGAAGCGCGAACCAGCCTCCTTCTCTAAAGATGCGTGGCCATGAGGAATAGCTGGACTTGCTGAACATGGAAAACGCAGCCAGCCTGTTAAAAGATGGATTCCCATTGCCCTAGAAATAAAGACTTGTAAGGCAACACAATCCTTCTCTCCCTCCCCCTTTATTTGTCTCTCTTTAATTATATTCTGAGGCCTGTAGTGATACCTCTGCTACCCCTCAGGCACTTGGTCCCACTTCAGTAGGCTTGTATAAAAAATGCTTATGAAAGGAGGGAAAACTCAACCTGCTGCGACTGGTACTGGGTGTCACTGTATATATTGTAGAAGAAATCTTTAAGATTAGAAGGGAAAAAATTGCAGATTCCACACATTCCCTCACTGTTATGGATTTAATAAATAACCTTGCCATTAACAGTTAAATGTATGAACTTTTTCATACTCAGATCATGGATGGTTACACGACTCCTCCCCCTGGAGATGTCTCATCATCTTCTCCTCTTCCTGAGGTTGTGACTAAAGGTACAGTACATGAATGTGATAATGTAAAACAAGACTTTTTTCCCAGGGAGTGAACTTTGGGATCACTTGTGAAGATATGTATTTGAATTCGGATTTCTGGCTGTTATAGGAACCACCACTCAGTACTTCTACATTTTACTCTTTGGTGTACCATGACTTTTTCTTACTTTGGCCTTTTCTGCCCTCTCCATATCAGGCACTCTGTGCATTACATATGGCCCTAAATGCAGAGGATTTTTCTTGCACAAGGATTTAATGAAAGAACTACCTACAAAACTGATAAATGTTGGTTGTGCTGTGTTGTACCAATACACTGATTTGTAATAGTTCCTCCTCCAGGTTGTAGATAAAGCCTCTGCAGTAGACAGATGTGGATTTAGTCAGGATGCCAAATATGTGCGGCTTCTAGAAAGCCTCCTCCTGAGAGCCGCACATTCCCCTTGTTCTGTTTTACATCTATCTTACTAAAGTCATTGTTGGGGGGTACACAAGCCAACATTCGAATAAGCGGAGTACTGGCACTTATTTTCATATTAACAAGTAATCAGCATTTGTTGCAGCTGGTGGAGGTGGAGCAGATATTAAATGTAATGTTGATCATATAAATCTTCTCCTGCAGTCAGATAAATGTGGTGGGGTGAGAAGTGCAGTGTTCTCCTCTGAAATGTAGTAAAGTAGCATAATATTGAAATAAGTATATCTGCAGCAGGAGACATTTTACTGCATGAGTACTTTTGATACTTTAAGTACAATTTTGCTGATTCACAGTTTGTGTGAAGGTCACGATCACATTGGAATCTGATTGGATTCAGCTTTGATCGATGATTCTGTAATTGATTTGAGCCTAAAGGTTTGTTAACTTGACACACACGAGTGTTTCGGTCCAGCCGTGGTTTGTGTGTGTGTGTGTGCGTTTAGCAGGGGAGTGTCTTATCAGCCTGATGCCAGAAAGGAGCATGGGAAGGAGCGAGTGTGACGCCTCCAGGGTCTGTCGCTGTGGAGATAAGAGCCGACACACTGATGCCCGCTGGCCCCTTGTTTCCATGGCGGGGCCAAAAGACAGCCAGAGAGCTGCTAACTAGCTTGGGGATGTGTGTGTATAACAAGTTTGATATACGGCTGAATTGGATCTTTGTTTACCATTTACAAAGTTGTCCGTCCTTTCAGCCTATCAGTGGTGTCAATCCAAGGACATTAGCTGTGTTTGCTGCAGAGAAAATGTTTTGATTTTGAATTGTTGACTGGTTTCTGGGTATTCAATTTCAAGCTTTCAGTTACTATTTGTACCCCAAACTCTTCTTACTGAAAGTAATTGTTGTTGTAAGTCAGTAAAATATCAGATTTATGGAGATTAAACTGAAAAAAAAACGATCTAAACATCACTGCATCACTAATAAGAACTGTTAACATTCATAAATGATACAACATCTGCGCTCGTATTTATGACTTCTAAATCCATGCAGGAACTTTTGAGAGAGACGAAGCAATTTTCTTGCCAAATCTCTTCAAAGTTTAGAGCTGAAGCTGCTTTTGCTTATTATTTTATCATTTCTTCTTTATTACTTTATGTCAAGATAACAAAATAGTGCTCTTATTTCATTTTTAAGACCCTTTAACCTCAAGATAACACTTTTTATGGTCAACTAAATGCTTGTTGTCTCTGTTTCTGTGCCAATTTAATCAGACCGATCGAGTTTGGTTGCGCTTTTCTTGCCGTTAGACAAGAATTAAGCTGTTTGTTTTCTTTTCTTTTTGTAGGATGTGAGATGTAAATAGTACAGAGCTCATGTGAACAGAGTTGGGCTCCGTTTGGCACCTCATCTCTGCACACACCGAGGCTTTAAAATAGACTGAGGGTGTTTGAATGCCATGCATGATTGGAGAATCAGCTGTCCTCTCACAAACTTTATAAGGTGTGCCGCCTGCATGGGTGTGGTGGCTCAATACTGATAAATATCTGCTGGCTGATACGATCAGATATGAAGATCTGAAGTGTTAATGCGAGAAAAGACACGAGGCAAATTCTAAACTCGAGCGCTTAGTGTTTTTACCTCCAACCACACATCCATACTTCCATTTGCTGTACCCGCTTAGCAGGGAGGGTTTCCTCTCTTACACGGGTAAAAAAGCAGCTGAAACTGAATTTAAATAATCACAAGAAACTAAACTTAAAAGAAAAACACTTCCAGTACAGGAAAGTAACTTAATACATTTACTTTGTGCAAGTCTACAGTACTTGTTTTGTACTCAGAAGCAAATTCTGTACTTTTTTACTCCACTACCTTTTTTTTCCAGATTAAAATTATTGTATTTTGTATTAAAAAACAAATATATTCTGATGTATTATCATAGGATAAGATTTTATTGATCCCAGGGAGGAATATTCAAAAGCTACCCATCAGTACATAAAGTAGTTTTACCTTTACAAGCTGCAACATATTAATGCATCCATAATTGTAATCCAGTCATGTGTTTGTTGTCTGAACGCACGACGTGATATCACTACCTATACCAAGTATCTTAGTGCTTCTTCCACCACTGCCGCAATTTCACCCTGAAACGTTTATATTACCTGTTTTTCCCAACACATTTGTTTTATTGTATTTACAGGCAACTACACCGACGATGGACCAGTCGCAGCCTTAATCGGAGGTGAGGACTGAGCTTCCTGATTATATTAAACTATGCTGAAATCAGCATTTTCAAGCTCCGGCACCTTTTATCCCACATTCCATGAATGCAGCATAAATATCTTTTAATTTCATAGTTTAATTAGCATGTAGCCTAATCAGTGTAATTTAAAGAAAACCTTTAATTAATGTACAGTTGTTATCTGAATTGAATTATTATCCAGGACAGAATAACACAGTAACTAATTTTAGTCATTTAAGTTCATTGATTAAGATTAAACACCATAAAAGTTGCACCCTCCAGACTAGAGAGCTCAAAACTAAACTATTTTACAACAAATCTGAATTTTATCCTGAGTTGTTTAATGTGCAAAAAAAAACGTGCAGGTTTAATAAATTGTGATTTTAAAATCTTTTAATGATCTCATGTCTTGACCTTTGTACTCCACCCTTCCAGGGATCGTGAGTGCAGTGCTGCTGCTGCTAATCTGCATGATAGCAGTGCTGCTTTGGTGCCTGTCCAGACACAAAGGCTCATACGTCACCAATGAGATGGACGAAGACGAAGACGACGACGATGTTGATGGCCACGACGATGAGTCTGTTGGTTCTGATACGGCGCTCCAGAGCAAGGAACCTCTGAAGATCAAGGAGGAGGAGTAAAGGAGGGGAAAAAGAAGAAGACCTGTAAGATATGGACTTGAGTTGTGCTGTCGAGGACTAAAGAGCTTTGTTACATTTATTTTTTACATCATTTTTTTAAAGTAACCGATTTACTAAAGCTGCACGAAGCAACTTTGCACATCGCCGCCGCCACCAAACAGCTGCAAGATACGACTATTTGACATGTGAGTCTCCACTTTTCCTGTGAAGCTGCACCAGCCGTTTAATTTAACGGATGAAACGTGACTCTCATGCAAGATTCACAAAACATTTTTCAATGTGATTTTCTTGCTAAACAATTTCTAATGACGCTATTTACATACCAGCTCTTGTTAATGTGACAGTTTGTCTTACAAACATACAGCAGGCACTGCCAGAGAACAGCAGCTGCTAAACACCTCACTGAAATTTGGTATAACATTACACATTATCTAATATTTAGTGATCACATAGTGCTATTGTTCTTGAACCAGATGAGTTTTGTTTCTTACTCTGTGCAAAAACATCCAACTCTTCATTAAAATCCAATCTGTCACAGTGTCAAAATCCTCCAGAAGGCACACATATGCCACTTTTTCAGTAAGGTTCCTGGAATATAATCAACGTCTGACACTGATTAAAGCTTATAACTGGCAGGAAAAAGTCCTGTTACTTTCATTGTTTCTGTCACAGAAATCACCAGTGATGTGCTGAGAGAATTTAATTGAGATTGATTGAGAATCTACCGCACTTTTCACATTTTCTCATTGATTCTCCCAAGATGGTTTGATAGTTAAATAAAATATCTGATGCAGCTTTAAAAAGCTTTAATGAAAATGTTGACATTTCCAGAATAACCATTTCTAAAGAAATCTTTTGCCTCAGATCTCTTATTTTCAACCATTTCACATCCTTCTGCAGACTTATTGTGTGTCTCATGTACTGAATCTTGTTAAAAACTGTTGGTTTCTAAAACGTTACAGCTCCTGTGTCTCTTACAGCCGGACAAAGAGGCCGTGAGGTCGAACTAACTAACTCACCAGACGCTGGTAAACAATTACTGCTCATTTTCCACGCTGGCTGATTGTAATATTTTAACGTCATAACAGTGAGTGACTCTCTGACTAACATGCCACATTGTTATGAATCAGCTGTGAGGGATGGCCTGAATTTCTTTGACTATCAGAGTATCTTTTTCTGTCCGTTTTTGTTTTTTAAGAAAAAGTGAAAGAAAGTATGATGAAATACTTGGTGAAAAGGCTTGAAGAGGTCCAAAACTCCAAAGAGGAAGTCAGTACTTGTTTGCAATAATTAATTGTTAGAAATAGAGAGGAAGATGAATCTGTTTTACATATTTCTTTACACATTTCTTATTAAAATCTCTTCTTGGGTAGTTTTAACTTAAGAATAAAGTTTTTACACTTCCTGTCTTTTATTTTTGTGTGATTTTAGTGCCTCAGTGTGATGAATGAGCCCGTTCTCATCTCAGGGCGTCACAGGTGTTGGATGAATTCAAACTGCCCCATCTAGTGTTTAGAAAGACGTACTGCAGTTGTTTCTTCTGTGCATTTGAGAGTCTAATGTGGGGATTATTTATGTATGTTACACATTTCCAATATACAAAACATGCAAAACCATATAACAGATACTTTAAAGAAACAGACATGTAAAGAGCAACAGATACTAGACATTTAGATGAAATATTAGGGAATATTAAAGTGCTGGACACATAACCTGTGTCTCCACCACTTTTCTGTGAAATAATTCCACATTTTTATTCATGTTTGATATAAAATACGTATTTTATATGAGCTTATTTTGGCTCACAGCAGCAGCGGTGAAGATGTGTGTTCAGAAAGTGAAAGGTGATCTTTTATTTTCAGAAATAAAGGCAAAGAGATTGAAACTATAGACCGTGGATAAGAAGTGGACGTAGTCATGGTGACGTCACCCGTTGGTTTGTGGACTGCTGTTTTGAAGCCTCACGTTTTGGCCGGTAGTTTCATTGCCTAACTCTAACCAAACTACCACCAACGTGTTCCATGTGTTGATGAAACTTGTGCTCAAGATCCGGTACGCCTGTTGCTGGACTGGTCCTTGCCAAAGCTCGCACATGTCGTTTTGGGACACTTGACAATAGACCTGTTTTGTAGTTAAGAGGAGTTTATGTTGCTGATAGACACTGGCTATGCAACAACGAGGTGAGCAACAGAATACAGAGACTTTTGGGTGTCAGCAACAAGATGCAGGAGCTGATGGCAGTTAAGATATCGATGGTAACGAACGGACGGACAGAAGATGAAAATAACATGACGGCAACAAGCTGACGGTAGCACATTTCTTTCCATGGTATTCTGAAGGCATCCAGATACTTCAGTGGTGTTTCCTGTTTTTTTTTTTTGAAGGTTGTCCGCCTCTGTTGCCTTTACCTGATGTGTCTCACCTGTTTTTTTCACCCTCCTTGCTCATGTGTCTGTATTTATTGTCCTCGTTTCTGTTCAGTCCTTGTCGGACCGTCGTTGTTCTTGTCCTGTTTCATCCGTGTCCCGTTTTCTTTCCGTCTTCTGTGGTTTTGGATCAATGTCTCACACCTTTTTGTTTTTGTGTTTGTCAATGAACTTTTGGACATTTACTGTACTTTTTGGATTTAAGTTATCTGTTTTTGTTCGACTGTCCAGTTTGGATTTTGTGTCTTTTGTTTTTTTTGTTAAATTAATTATGAAACTCAGTCTGCTGTCTTGGTGTCTGATAATAGGCCTACTTGTTTCTGCCTGAGCGCACGGCCTAGCTTGACACAGTTACAGAAGTTGATTGCAATGAGACACTGCTGGATACAAGATTTAAAATGTAAAAACAATGAGATGTGGACGGCAACAGATCAGAATGTGGGAGTGAGAACCTGAAGGCAAGCAGATGCTTGGGTCAATGAGCAGCAGATGATGGCAACAACCCGCAGAAGTGGATGGAAATTAGGCGCTTAATGGCAATAACGGGCAACAATGGTGATAGCAAATGCCAGAAGCAACAAATTGCTGCTACAAACAACTTCATGTAGCAGCAACCAAACATGTCAGAGTGGAAAACCTATAAGACTTCTTGATCCAGTCATCGGTGTTTGACAAAGTCACAGTGTTGATGAGTAATGCTTTCGGGTAAACCGTTTCCTAACAGAGATCAGCTCCTTCATTTTGCTGCCAAACTCTCATTTAAAGACAGATGATCTTAGTGTGTGTGTGTGTGTGTGTGTGTGTGTGTGTGTGTGTGTGTGTGGTCCTGCAAAGCTCAGCCTTCGACCCACGACGCCAGATTATTCTTCTGGGCTTTCTCCGAGCCGGTGACGGTTTGGATACAAACGTCTTGCCAAGGTGCCTGGGATTCATTTTGGGTTTGAGTCATTCAGGACTTCTGGTAATCGCGGGGATGTTATGATGAGAGGAAGTGAACCACGACGGGAAAGTGAAGCAGAGGACCAACAGAAGGTTGGAAAATAAGAAAACAAAGTAGAGATGCAAAAACCTTTAAACTGAGACCAATGAAGTCCTTAAACACTCATGATTACAGATTTACAAACCGGCACAGGCGCATTTTAAGCTAAACACAATTATACAGTTAGTTGTATTTTATTATGTTCAAAGGATCATAAACCTTTAGCTTCATTTGCATCTTTACCTGCTTCTGCACTGGCTACTATACAATAAGTCAGCGTAAAACAGCATTAAACAATTAGAAATAACTGATAATGGTACAAGTGGCATTAATATAAGTGCTATTGTTGGATGTTTGACTAATTTTTCATCTTTCTTGTGTAACATCTTTACTGTAATACAACTTTTAAGTGCAGTTTATAGTCCAAAACACTTTTGTTTTTCTTTCTAATATAGCAAATTGTATGTTTTAAACAATGGCACGGTGCAGATTCACAAACTGACAGTGCAGAAATGTTTATCTTTATGTTTATGACATCTTTATCTGCTTCTACATGAGCCACAGGTAACAAAGCAGGGGTGAAAAGAGCAATTACTTAATAAATCAATAACAGTGCAAGAAATAGTAAAGGAAAAGTGCAAAAACATTTTGCTTTATTTGTATACCTGCTTTTACACTGGCCACTAGTCAGTAACTCAGAGTGAAACAGCATTAAACAATTAGAAAACAAGTGGCATTAATTACTATTATTATTGCATGTTTTATTCCTTTTCCATCCTTTCTGATTCTCATATTGATAATTTACGTTTGAAGCAATGGCCTGGTACAGATTTACAAACTGACAGAGCAAAGAGCATAGAGGCAGAGTGCAGAAATGAAACAGCAATAAACTACTTGGAAATGATCCACAATAGTGCTAGTAATAGTAGCAATGATGATATAATTATAATGGTTGGATTTTTTTTGTAGTTTTCATCCTTTTTGTGTAGCATTTTTACCACTATATGACTTTTTCCTTTCTAATATGGGGGATTTTATGGAACTATACCTTAAAATTTATTTAAACAGTGGGTATGATGATTGTGACATGGAGACAAAGGTGTTTCTATGATTTAAAGAGCTATATTCCTAATGTTTTGGGGGTTTCAGCTCTGGCTTTTGTGTTAATGAATTAAATAAATGTGAAACAGGACGCTCTGGGACAAAAATTCAACTTTATTCAGTTTAATTTTCAGCATCAGCAGGAAAACTACCACAATGTGGCCGGCTGTAATACCACCAGTGGCCTGCAGGCGGTGCTGTTTCCCCAAGACGGACCTTCACAGCAGAAAACTGATCAATCCTTCAAAAAAGTAGCAGAAAAAACGAAAGACAAGAACACTAAATATCATCTCATTTGATCTTAGATACATTATTATCTTTGTTATAGGAACAGGAGCGTGATCATGTTACTTCATAAAATGTATAAACACAGAGCCTGACTGCCAGGGTAAATATAATGTGTGTGTGTGTTTTATCAGCTAATAAAACCTGCAAATAAAAAACATGTGACGCTCGTTAATGAACTGCCTTTAAACTGAACACACACACACACACAAACATAAAAACACCAGAGCAGCCTTGTGACAAATAAGTGTGCAACTATCCTCTTCATAACACAGAGGATAATGTGTTTATTTCTGGACAATCACTATAAATTTGTTCTATTTCTGTTTTTTTCAGTGCTTTTCAGCCCCACCTAAACCCCCAAACATCTCGCTGTTTGCCAAAACATCTTTTCTAATTAAAAGTTTTCTTCACGTTTGTTCTGCCAGACCAAACACTAAGCTGTCTGCGATTTATACGACTCCATAAGTCTGATGGTTATGTGTTAATCTGCCGGTAATAAGCTGTAAATAACCTGAACCAGATACAGGAAAGGAGATTAGCTTCACTTGTTGCTCAGACAACAACATCAGCTTGGTTTTGTACAGGAAAATTAGCCAAATCTGAACTAATCTGTCTTTTTTTTTGTATAAAATAAAATAAAATAAATATATAAATATAAAGGTAAAGATATGAATAAAAATAATAAATAAAATTAAATAAAATTATAAAAATAAAATAATTTATATTTAAAAAGACATAAAGATACAAAGATAAAATGAACAATAAAATACCACTGGAACAACAACTTAGCTTTACGATGACAAAAAGATAGTGAGGAACTTTCAACCTTTTTTGTCCTGGTTTTTATGCCAAATGATTTTTGGCTATTTATACTGAACAATATGTCAAATATTCATAAAAATTAATATTGCAAAGCTTAAATAAAATGTGTTCAGATGAAAATGCTTTTCCTGTAAATATCTCTGAAGAGCCCTGAGGGAAGAATAAAAGATCTTTTGACTCATCAAACAGGAAAAGCACAGGTGTAACTAACGACATCTCTCTGTTTGACAAATCATTGTCGCTCTGAGGATGTCTTGTGTTGTATAGTCCTGTATGTTTGTTGGTAAAGTCAAAGATGGTGATACTGATAAAGAGGCGAGAGTCCTTTTAGAGAGTTGGTGACGAATGCTGCAGTCAAACCAGAATTATTTAAATTTGTTTGAAAAGCGGATAGGAAACTGTGTGGGTGCACGACTTCAGTAAGTCAAGACTAGTATTAAACACAAAGGCAGCAATCAGTGCTTCCTGTAGGTTAATGTTATTAAAACATAAAAAATGCCTGGGCTTTTTGCAAACACAACATCCACACAGCAAATTAAAGATGTTGTTTTCCTGAGAACCACGTATCTCAACAAAACTGAGGATACTTTTTTCTGCCGGCCCAAGAGGCAGTTAAATAGTTTATTTAGCTTAAGAGGGAGGGGAATTAAAAAAAAACATAAAAGATCACCAAATTTGGAGATGAATTGTTTTCACTGGACATAAAGGGTATAAGTGAAATAAAGACAGTAAAGCTGTCAAACAAATGTAGTCGAGTAAAAAGTGAATTGGAGAGACCAGGGATGGTTGTAACGTCCA